AGAGGACAGAACAGCTGAACAGCTTGCAGAGGGGATTTGGGAAGGCAACTTCCCCCAGCCAAAGTGACAAATCACAAAGTCTAGGTGGAACAAGGGGAAGCAAGTCACATCACACAACCTGAGTTGGATGCCAGAGGCTGTGGCCTGTCTCATTCTGAGCTCTGTAGTTCACCCTGCTTTGGTGAAAACAGTTACTTCAGTTGGATTGTATTCCTTTCACTGTGCTTGTTACTCTCCTGTTGTCCACTCTCCTTGCTTCCTCTGTGTGAATTAGTCGCTACCTGCACTGTAAGGACAGTGTGCTGAAGGGATCCAGTTGTCTTAGAAACAGTGTTAAAATTATTAACGCAAGAAAAAAACGATCACGCTATTCACCCATTGTATTAAACCCAGCATCACTGCTGATTTGAGTTTGCCTCCAAAATAATCCCTTAAAAGCTCTTCTCAGTTCATGTTCCTGGCTATAGCACAGCAAGATAGACTTTTTTTAAGTTAAACTATGCATAATAGTTCCTTTAAGAGAGCGTTTTCTCTGGCTTTTGGCAACAGGCCATCCCTTATAGGTGAAATGACCTTTCCACTCTGAAGCCCATGAGAACACACAAACTAATCTTTGAGTTCTCTGCCAGCTCTTTTGTCTTCTGTGCCATGATGTGGTTGTGGTTCAGCTACTGTGCATGCTGGATTGTAGGTCTGGGCAATGGGTTTTGGAGACATTACACTGAGATGCCATTCTCCCTAGAGGACTACTCTAAGGAGGATTTCAAATGGGAAAGGTCATAGAAGGTCAGAGTGCTTTATTTCAGCACTCTGCTGATTTGTTCTTCTCCCCATGTCAGATTTTTCTTTCAGGATGGAGTTCTTTGCGTTGCAGTTCATATGGCAACTTGACACAGTGCATACGTAGCGCTGTTCTGTGTTCCAGTGAGTGGCAGGGCCCTGCTGCATAAGAAGATAGGCATAACATCAGGGGAGAGACAAAGGACATAGATGGCTTGCAGAAAACAGACCACAGTCTGATGCTTCTTAGCCATCAGTACACAGCTAGAGGTTAGGTGAAAATCATAGAATTGCTCAGGTTGGAGAAGACCTTAAAGATCATTGAGTCCAACCATGACCTAACCCTAACAACCTTCTGCTAAATCATATGCCTGCATATCGCGTCCAAATGGTTTTTAAACATAGCCAGGGATGGTAACTCAACTACCTCCTTGGGAAGCCCATTCCAGTGCTTAACCACCCTTTCTGTAAAGAAGTTTTTCTTGATACCCAACCTTAACCTCCCCGGTGCAACTTAGGGCCATTTCCCCTTGTCCTGTCACCAGTGAGAAGAGACCAGTCCTGCTCTTGCTGTATGCACCTTTCAGATATTGGAAGAGAACATTAAGCCCCAGTTCCTTCAGTTGCTCCTCATAAGGCATGTTCTCCAAGCCTTGTTGCCCTTCTTTGCACCTGCTCTAGCATCTCACTGTCCCTTCTGTACTGAAGTGTAATAACTAAACACAGTACTTGAGGTGAGGCCTCAAATTAGGACAGTACAGCCTTAGTCCTGCTCACCACACCATTCCTGATACAAGCCAGGATGCCATTGGCCTTCTTGGCCACCCTGCTGGCTCATATTCAGCTGACTGTCCATCAGTACACCAAGGTCCCTTTCCATCAGGCAGCTTTTCAGCCCCTCCTCTTCAAGCCTGTAGGATTGCCTGGGGTTGTCGTGAACAAAATGCAGGGCCCAACACTTGCCCCATTGGGCCTATTCTGTACCCTACCTTTATATACTAGCACTGGGGGCTGTGTTCCAAGGAGTAACAAGCCTTCTTTGCCTCAGTTCTTAATAGCAAGACATTAAGTACCTCAGTTTTATCCTGATCATTGGTCACCAAGTTCCCCCCAGTGTCCAACAAGGGATGGAGATTCTCCCTAGCCCTCCTCTTGCTGTTGGTGTATTTATGGAAATACTTATTGTTGTCCTTTATCTTCGTGGCCAGGTTCAGTTCTAACTGAGCTTTGGCTTTTCTAATTTTCTCCCTGCATAGCGTCACTACATACCTGTAATCATTATCAGTAGCTTGCCCACTCTTCAAGAAACCATAAACTTTCCTTCTGTTCTGGAGTTCCAGCCCAAGATCTCTGTTCAGCCAGTCTGGCCTCCTTGTCTGCTGGCTTGTCTTCTGTGACTTGGGGATGGTCGGCTTCTGCACCTTCAACATAACTTCCTTAAAGTATTTCCAGCTTTCCTGGGCTCCCACGCTTCCAAAACTACCTCCCAAGGGACCCTCTCAACCATAGTCCTTAAGAGGTTAAAGTCTGCCCTTCAGAAGTCCAAGGTGGCAGCTCTGCTGACTCCCCTCAGTGGAGAACAAGGATTGAGAAATCTAGCATTTCATGATTGCTATGCCCCAGATGGCCTCTAACCTTTACATCTCCCGCAAGATTTTCTCCGTTAACAAACAGCAGGTTCAGGATTTTGCTTCCTCTGTATTCTGCTGTATTATAAATCCAGCAGATGTCTGGGAAGTTGAAGTCCCCTGCAAGAGAGAGACTTCACCCAACTGTCTATAAAGTGTCTTTATCCACCTCTTCATCCTGGCTGGGTAGCCTGTAGCAGACTCCTGTGATAATACCAGTCTTATTGACCTTTGCTTTTATCCTGATCCATAAGCTCTCAACCCTATTATCACCTTCATTTATTTCCCTACATTCAAATTTTTTTCTTAACATAGAGGGCTACATCACTGCCTTTCCTACCTTGCCTGTCTCTCTTAAAATGTTTGTAGCCATCCATTGCAGCACTCCAGCTGTGTGAGTCATTCCACCATGTTTCCATGGTGGCCTCCAGCTCCTCCTGTTTATTATCCATGCTGCATGCATTAGTGTAAAGGCACCTGAGCTGGGCCCCCTTTTGAGTGGCAGTAGTCATAATACCCTCATGACCATACTCAGGTGTTTCCATAGCCACCAACTTCACACCAACCTTGTGTTTTTTCCTACAAAAGGGTGAGTCGTCGTCCTCCTTCACGAAGACGCAAGACTATGGGATCTTACTAGCACATCCTTCTCCTACAAGCACTGGGATGTTACATACAGGCTCTGTTCTAGTGACCCTAGTTACACCCCCTCCCTGCCTTGTACCTAGTTTAAAGCTCTATCAATGAACCTTCCCAACTCCTGTCTTAAGTCCCCTTTCCACCAGTAAGAGAAGCTACTCCTATGGGTTGCCAGCAGGCCTGGTCTTGTGCAAACAGAGCAGAGGTCAAAAAAAAGAGTTGCAGACTGTTCTTAATTTCCCAGGAGACTATGATTGCTTGATAGATTTATTGCTTTACTTTTCCTCCTTTGATTGCTCTATGTTCAGAGTTCAGCCTAACTTTTTTCTGATTATCATAAAGAATTTTACTTCAGTTTCACAAAAATTATCTGTAGATATTTTTTTCCTCAGAAGAGTTATCTCTCACCTGAAGAGAAAAACATTGATAAATTCTCCACTATGCATTTCTGTTTCAGTACTTGTTCAGTGATGTGTAACCCATTTCTACAATAATCCTGATCCTGAAAACCTCCACTGAAGGAAGATCCACAACTTTTATGTGATTATTTGCAGCCCTCATTGGCATTAGATTGCCTTGCTTAATGTCTTAAAAATGTCTGCTGCTGTTGTGGCGAGAAAATAAGAGCGAGACCTCTTGTTTCCTGCCCAGTTATCCTGTTTTGAACAGGTACAGCTTCTGGCTAAATACTTGGTGGCGAGAGAAGGAAGAATTCTAACCTCTTCCAGTGAGACCTATCAGCTATGCTATACATTCCCAATGCATGTTTCTGTGGAATCTCATCAATTTCACTGTGACAGCAGAAGACAGGGCCATCCCCCTGTGCTGTAAAGTCAGATAACGCCCATGGCTATCTGAGATAAAATTGGAACATTTTGGCCTTTAACTTATTTCATGCTCCTATCACCTTCCTCTTCTTCCCTCTGTCCTCACTTCTGTGGAATTTTATGGTCAGAGATTGTCTCTGACAAAGGTCTAGGTTATCAAACAGGCTGAGACACTTAACCAGCTGTGTTTCTAAGTCCACCAATGAAATGCTGCTGATATCTTGCTCCTAGCACTTCTGCTGAGCGGTGTATACAGAGCTGTGCAGGGAGCTGCCTTCTGGGTAGTGAACAGCTTGGAGTCTGTATCCAAGCAGAAGCCACTGAAGTGTCAGAATAGATTTTCACAAACTTCAAGTTCTTCACTGGCGAGGTCTGGTTGTACTCTTTCAAATTAAGTGTTTGGAAAGCATAGATAAGGGAAGTACTTTTCCTCAGCTGTATGAAGTGTTTGGCTAATGTGTCAGCAAAGAGCTTTAGTAGAAGTGGAGATCAGAATCTGGCTCCTGTAATGCACGAGTGACCTGAGCGTCTCCTTCAGAAATAATGACTTGAGAGCTCTGCCTCCTTAACATGTGTATGACAGTGCCTTAAGAGGAGTTGCAGGGAGGTTTCGGGTCCCTGCAATGTATTGGGGAGCACACTTGAATCTTTGAGTTTGGTGATGTATGGTTGCTGCTAATCTGTTTGAGGTATCTAACCATCTCTTCAGCTACAAATCCTTTTCTAACGTTAAAAAAAGAGGCTTGCCTTGCCAAGAGAGCTCTCTAAATGCTATCCTGTTTTCTTCTCAAGCACCCGATGTTCCTGACCAGCCAATGCAAACCTTAACTGCTGATCCCTTTCTTAGACAAATCTTCCCACAACTCATTTCTTCTCCATGATGGCAGGCATTGCTCTGCTAATTGCTTCAGTATTTAAGTCAGTGTATTTAAGGGGCATTCAAGAATTTTAGAGGCATAATCTAATGCTAATGGAGTGGAAAATCAGATGATGAACTTCTGGATTATTTGTAATTTCAAAAATGGCCTTTGCCTTGCTCCTTTTTAGCATCTGCCTTTGCCATTCTGTTTGTCCCAATTGTTAGACTGTAACAGAATAGAAGAGTTAAAGCTTAGTTTTTTCAGATTTAAAATATGCAGTAGGAGTGAACTTCTACTGACATGAGAAACCATGAGAGCGTGGGTCTGTGTGCAGAGTGGATGCACTCATTTGGAAGCTGGCTGCGTGATCTGGGTGAGCTGTGGCTGTGCAGTGGCAGTTTGTGCCCCATCTCACACAGGCTGCACGTCTGCCTGGTTTGTGGACATTTTGCAATCCAATCTACTTAGTTCTGGGCTTAGTTGAAGAGTGTCTTCTGTCTTTGCAGTATATCTGGGTTACAGTGGTTACTGCAGTGTGGTCAAACTCAGGACCTTTGTTTTACTTTTGCACACAGCAGGCAGCATGTTGATACCATGCTGATAAAGGCTTGGGGAGAAGAGCGTGGTCTTGTGCAGTGTTGCTGTTAGTGCTCACTTCAATACCAGCAGATTTTACAGTCTCCCCTCCCAGATTCTGGTTAGATTTTGAAATCTGGATAATGTCAGATGCTGAAGCACCAACACATGCATCAACTCTAAAGTCTGCTCCTCAGTGAGCGTGTGTGCAGGTGCATGTATGAACACAAGTACACACGTAGCAGGGGAGCCTCAGAACTGATGAATACAGCCTGGCTGGTTGGACTGCAAACAACTGCAGTAGTTGAGGAGCACTTGTTAACCATTCTGCCACAGAACACAAGGATGTACCAGAAGGGAATGTCAGGACCAATTTTTCCAGTTTATGTACAGGGATGGTTGCCAGGCTTGGCAGGAGCAATTTTATGTTATTGCTTCCTACAGTGTTCTTGCATTCAATGGACTTTAATCTCCCAGGTCCTCTGGCTTGACTGTTTCAGCAGCACTAAAAGTTTACATGCACAGTGGCACTTCTTTCTCACGGGAATATTTTTATTTATTTATTAAGTGAACCTCAAGCCATGGCTATGATTTTTCATTTTCCTGTGTATCCTGGCCTCTTGGGAAGGGCTGCAAGCTGTGCCTGTTTAAATAGGGCATATTTTCATTTTAAACGTGCTGTTTAGAATTGGAGAAAAGCAAAGATTTTGCCCTGGAAAATCTGCAGCAATGGAGTCAGGAGAATTTACCACTTTTTGCTTGGCTCAGATTCATCTCCTCAGGCCTCTCCTAAGCCAAGAAACCTCTGCGTAGATAAAACTGTTGCAAGATAGACATAATGTAAGTATTAATATTGTGATGAACGCAACATCAGAAAGCTCCTGAGTTCCCTTTCTCCTCTGCACCAACGAACTGAGCAGCCTGTAGCACTGGCTGTGTTCCTGACCTAGACAGGAGGTGGGCATCAATGTGCTTGAATCAGTCATGTTGCAAGTAAATAACTACCCCACCATTGGCTGCTTTTTTTGGCATCAGCACTTAACTTTATTGACAGCAGTCAAAGAAGCCCTGATAAATAATGTGCAATGTGGAAAAATAGTTGCTGCTTGGACTCCCTTGTTATTTGGGTCTCACTGAAACCAGACCAATTTTTACAGCCTAGATGCAGACAGTGATGCTGGTGCTGTGCTGCAGTGCTGGTGTGCTGCTACCAGTGGCTGCAGAGAGTTATGGGAGTACTGGTGTGGTTCCCTTCACATGACCTTTTTCTGATGACCAACACCATCACTTGCTGTACTTGAGCTGCAGCGGACACATAAGGAAGTTATCAACTGTAACCAGCCTCGAAACTTACTTGCACAAAATGAAGTGTTCTGAATGTGTTGTCATTATCTGGCTGCTGTCAGTGGTGGAGTTTTGGCTGCTCAGCCGTTCCTCCTTGTAACAACACTGAGCTGGTTTTCTGCCTTTCTTATTGATGCAAGCTTTCAGAGCTGTTTCATAACCTTCAGAGAAGAGTGCATTGCTTTGCTTTTTGTTATCTCTTATGCTCTGCAGTCTTGTGAAAACTCTCCTACATGATCTGAAAGGCTTCTGACCTTAGGACATGAAACCCTGCACTTCAAGGAAGTTGGTGAGAGCCACCCAGTGTGGGTGCAAGCTGAGTCCTCTCTGTTTCTTGCAGCCAGCCTAACAGCTTGGACAAAGCTTTGCCTCTGCTCTGTTGCTCATTCCTGCCTCTTTTTATTTTTTTAATTTTTTCCAGAGAGACGGTACTCCAGATCCCGTTCCAAAGCTGGTGGACTGAGTTACTCCTCTCACCTGGTGGGCAGTCGGCAGCCCAGTGAGATGGCCCTGACACCTCTGACGGAGCAGGAGGGTGAGGCTTATCTGGAGAAGTGTGGTAGCATCCGTCGCCACACTGTTGCCAATGCTCACTCAGATATTCAGCTCCTGGCGATGGCCTCCATGATGCACACAGGCATGGTGATCGAGGAGTCGGACAGTAATGACAAATGTCTTCTCCTACAGCCCAGTTTCAGCCACAGGCAGTGCTCCAGCGAGCCCAGTATTGCTGATGGGCCTGAAGGAGGCGTGGCGACAGGCAGGCAGGACTCAGCAGAGCTGAACTGCACATCAGTCAGCTAGAAGAAGTCTCTCTGAGGAGGGGAAGAGCGTATGTGCTAAGCTGGACAAATGCTCATGTCACCCTCGCTGGAAGGAAAGGAAAGGGTTTTGCTCCTGGTATTGACATGTCCTTGGATGATCTAATGTCTCTTTGGGAATGCTCTCCAGACTCGTTTTCCTTGCCTGTTTGTGATTGCTGTTGATAGAGGTACCAGCCAGCTCCCAATTGAGCGTGGTGGGCTGCAGAGTTGAATGTTGCTGTTTACCTTCTGTAAGCTCTTTTACTGTACTAACCTAAACCTTCTGGCCTCGGGTTTCCTTGTGTTTCTTCGGTATGACGCAGATGAGCCTCTTTCTGCTTTTGTCTTTCCTGGTTTTGTGCTACTTGTTTGCATCAGAGGATCCTGTGCTTAATGTTCTTTGCCTCTGTAGTTGAAGTGATGACTAAGGGCTACCTTTTTCTCTTCTGAAGTTGAACTCAGGGATAAAACCACTTTCATCTTGCAGAAAGATCTGCTTAGATGGCTTGAGAGAAGGAGATCCTTCACTTGCTTCCCAGAAGTGTGGGGGGAAAAGAATCTTGAAGAAACCAGATTTTTTTAGCCCACACATGAACAGAACTGGGTATGCATGGAGTGCCAGCTGAGCTCTTCCAATGTGCTTTATGTAGTTCCAGTAATGTCTTTAGGGTTGACGTTATAAATTGAGCACGAAGGAGGAAGGTATAAAGTGAGAGCGAATACAGTCCTGAGCTTCCCAGTGTTTGGCACCAAATTGCTATTTAAGTTCTGAGGTGGTGCAGCTGCAATGAAAGGAGAAATCTAAACGAGTCCCTTCAGAAAAAGAATGCCCATGCATTTTTATTGGGAGAGTGCTAAAGGTGCTTCTCCAGGATGACTGTCATGAGTGCAGAGCAGGATGACTTACAGGGCTTCTTCCTTGAGCTGCTCTGGTACTCCCTGCACTTGCAGGATTCACGAGACAAAGATAAGCAGCTGGGCGCAGAAAGGAGCGCTGTCCTTGTAGCACATTTGTGAAGTGCTTCTGACCTCCAGTGGTATCTCGCTCAGTGCAGCATTTCTTTAAGATGAAGCGAGAACTACATGCAGTCTTTGTTCCTGTTTTTGTTTTGAAGATTAGGAGTGGGTCCAGGTTGTCAGTGTGTCAGGAGTTGCAGTGCCCACTGCATAGCACCACTTGGTTCTCAACTGCTGCTTCTGTGGGAGCAGAACAGATTTGTTGGAGCAGTCCTCTGGTGCCTTGCTAAGCAGATTTGCAACTGTAATTACAGGCTTAGAGGTGAACTGAAATGCTGCCTTAAATGTCAAATCCCATTAAAAATGTGGATATAACACCACAGCCTCTAGAATCCAGTCCCTGTGGTATTGACTGCAAATAAATCTATCCTGACAAGGAAACAGGAAGTTAGGATGAGTCTTCAGGATGTGTTTTTGCACACTGTGACGTTAACTGCAGAATTTGCCCTGCTGCCATTGGGCATTAAGCACCTTTTATTGCATGGACTGTACTGAAAGAGCATCTCGGACCTGCTGGGATTTGACTTCAGTAGCATGTGCTGTAAAAAGCAATTGGATGGTTAGTATACCACAAAGCACCAGGAAACTCAGCAATGAGCACAACTCTTGCTGTCTGTGTACATGAGAATATTGCTTTGTCTCCTGTGGTTTGCAGATCTCCAGATACTTGGAAGGGGCTGTGTTTCCTTGTAGTTGGTCACCTGTGACACCCTCGCTGCTGGCCTTTGTAGAAATGCAGTGTTTTTGTCCCCAGCTGTAATTATGTGGGGAGAGATTTTGTTGTGCTGTTGGCCTCCTAGGAAGGATGTGTCTGGGGAGGCAGGAAGAGGGGGATTTAAGCAGTCCTTCCTTTAAATGGATTCTAGGGGAAGTTGCCTTCTTATTCCTATAATTGGACTGATTGTGCCATCCTGATGCTCTCACACGCAATGACTCGCAGCCTTCTCTTGGCCACAGTGTACACGTGGGGAAGTGCTGATCCTGCAGCATTTCAGCTCGCTCCTGTAAGTGCTTCTCATCTCTTACTTCTCATTTCCCTTTTGTAAATGCCCAAAGTGAGCAGCTCCACCTTCTGTGATGCAAATGAGTATGATTTATACTCTTGGATCATCTCTAGGGCTAATAGGAACCCAGTCCTGGTTTTAACTTGAATGTCTTTTTGTTTTACATCTATTTATAATTAGAATCATTTTGATTTTGTACCTGTTATGTTGCAGAAATTTGCACCGAGCCACTCTGAATCGAGCACTTCCCCTGGTTGTTTGGATGTTTTGTTTATGGAGAATTAAAGCTGGTGGCTTTACTTTTTAAACTGATCTAAACTTGTTCTTCAACCAACACAGAGGATCTGGTTGAAAGTGGGCTTTCATGGGCATTTGATGGATCTTGAACCTTTCTTTTGTCAGTGTCAGTACTGCTGCCTTCTTTCCCTAGGGGAAGAGAATGCTGCAGAACTCGGGATGGCTGTGGGCAGTGAACTGCCTCTTCTGTTGGGGTGCTTCTGGGTGAGGTGGGTTCAGACCATTCCCCACAGCCTATTGACTCCTCCAGGAGTTGTTGTGGTCTTAAGGATCTCCACTACCCTGAACTCATACCACAGTACAGAGCAGCTGCTGATTGCAGCAATGCTTGGGGAGCGTTATTTGAAGCCTCTGTCATTGGGCTTCACAGCCAACTCCCTCTTATGCCAAGAGCCAGTTAATAATTCTTGTGGAATAATTATTATGGACTGCACAGTAACAGCCCCAGTTACCCTGGAAGAAAGATTGGAGTCGCAGAATCATTATTTCTGGGCTAAAAGTTTATGGACAATCTGCGCTGGCTCATATTCAAGAGTTTGCAGTTGCTATTATCACTGGAAAGAACCCCCACAATTTTTAACCTAAAACCCCCAGTTCTGTGGGATTGCTCGGGCTTCTGGAACAGCGGACAGTGCTGTACTAGGACAAATTGGAAGGTAATGGAATTAATGTATATTAAATGTCAGTGAGAAACCACAAGATCCTCTTCAGTGTATGACACTTAGGATGATTTATTACCATTATTGCTAAGCAAGTCCTCTTTCCTACTGTGGGTTTTTAATCCACTTCACACTAAGCAGCTATCGACTAACAGATATTGATGGTCCTTGGAGCAGAAATGGGAAGTCCTTCCTTCTCTAAGAGGCAGCTTCACTATTACAAGGGCTGTCTGCTGCCTTCAGATTCGTGAAGTGAATGATCATTGATTTGCTGCGTGGTTGCAAAAGAAACAAAGGGAAGGGAGAAGCTGTTCTGAAGGAGGGAAATGATGGCACCTGTACTGGAAAGCTCCTGCAAAAAACAGGACATCTGAGTCTAATACTCTGTTCCTGGGTACCAGTGAGCTGAATGAGGATGGTCCTGGGAACTAGATAAGCATATGAGACTTTGTATCTCTGGGATTCAGTGTGATTCTCCTTTACAAGCTTGTGTGAGGGCTGGAGAGAGGAGAGGATTTATTGTGATTTTCTTCCATCCGCAGTCCCTTCCCAGAAGGCTGGGGGAACAACTATCATGTAATGAGCATCAGTTTGTGACAGGATATAGTAGATGGAGCACCTCTAAGCTATACAGCGTAGAGCTGGCTGTCAGCCTGTCCTGTGGCCCTTAGATGCAAGGCATCTTTCTCCATACGTTACTTCAGGGAGAAAGCAAGGTCTGGAACCCTATAGTTTTTCCTCCATTCCTTGTGGTGGCTGCTGTAGAAAGCATCAGCCTCATTTCGTGAGTCCCGGTGGCACTTTAAGTACGGGTTCACTTTTGAGTTTTAACAGGAGGGATCCATAAGGGATGTACACACTTGTCTATACAGAGCCTTGCCACAAGAAGCCAAAGCTTCAGCCTGAGGAGCGCTTTCTAGGTGATCTGCTGAGGTAAGTGGAGTTTGTCACACCTGGTGAAATACAGAAACCAGGAGAACTTGTATGTGCCACTTCTCCTTGACAGTAGCCTGGTTCCTTGGTGTGCTGCCAGAAGGCCTGACTCATACCTAGCTGGAAATGCTGCTTTCTTGAAAATAGCAACAGAAACTAAGGTAAAGCTTAGAGAGAAACAATATAATGCATAACGGTGAGCGAATGCAGAAATGGAAATAAAACCACTAAGCTGTAGCATACTATTCTAGGGTTTGAGAAGTCGCTTTCACTGATTTCATGTTTAAGAACAGAACTGTAGGGCGCTTTCAGTATTATGGAGCTGGTGCCAGCAGTTGCAGAGAGGATGCCTACCTCTGGAGGCAGGTAGGGAAACCAAGGGGTTACCTGCAACAGACCTGCTGGGATTCTGCAGCCTTCGCTTCTCTCTTCGGAGCATAACAAGTGGGATGAGGTAAGAAGTGTCTTGCTTTTTTATTTTTGAACATATAAAATATAAATTAACTTGCATGGAAATGAGTTTGTCTGAGAGGGGTAAGAAGTAGAAGATGAATGTTTTGAGACAGTTTATCACAGGGCATTTAGCAAGCAAGCACTTCTACTTTATGAATGTAGGTGTTTCTTACAAAATTGTTACTGCCCAACTGCTAAAATGCTGCTCCATTTAATCGGGCAGTTCTTAAGGTTCTTCAGGAAGCTGAGCAGAGCAGGGCTGTCCTGTAGACTGTGCTGCAGTGCAGTCTGAATGGCTCTGGAATGGGCTAGGTGCCAGCCTGAGTGTTTATCCATGGTTGCATTAGTGAGCAACTTACACTAAGTTGCAGTGAAGGTCTGATAGTGACAAAAGAGCAGGAAAGAAGCAGCTCCAGCTGTGAGAGGAAATCACTGAGCACAGGAACTATCGTGGGCTGCATCAGTCCGGATGAATCAGAGCAGGAAAAGGTGGCTCATCAGTCAAAGTCTGGTCAAAAGCTAATAGGAAAATAATTTCCCATTTCACAGTTTCCTCCTCTCCAAGTTTCAAAAATTTCCTCATTCCATCTCAAAGGGGAAAAAAAAAAAGCATCCCACAACTTAACCCTTTTACAGCTGTGATCCCACAACTTAACCCTTTTACAGCTGTGATCCCACAACTTAACCCTTTTACAGCTGTGAAACCCAAGCACTTGCTTCCATAGAACAAATGAGTTCAGTTATGACTGCTAAAGGACTGTATAGAGCAGGGCTCCACATTTCCAGCAAGATCTTTACTGTGTTGCACCTCAGTCTTCATCTGTTCCCCCTCTCACAAAACAAAGGTAAAGTCATGAAAGCAATACTGTATTTTTTTTTCCAAAATGAAAACAAGTGTGGCCTTCCAGGAGGAATTAGATAAGAGCGATGATGGTTCTGCTTGGAATTAAATATTACAGTGGACTCAAGCTAGTATCAGTACAGTGGAAGCTTTCTGCTTAAAAATAAGAAGCAAAGGCAGTTATGCCTTAAAAAATATTTGTGAACTGAAACAGGTGGCAGAAATAGCGCAATCTTCATAAGTTTGAGATCTGACATGCTTGCAGGAACTGTGAAGTGCTGAACTGTGGGCGTGTCTAATTTTTGTGTTTTTTAACATGTGTACTTTTTTTCAGAAAAATTGAAAAAACTAAAGCCAGCAAAGCAAAAAAAACAAAACACCCAAAAACCCAAGAAAACCCAAGATTACAAATAACAGATTTTCTGAAGACGACTTAAATGGTGTAAGGGTGGTGGTCCAAATGGATATTGTCCTTGCACATGGAGCTAACAAAGGTTAGTGCCATTGACCTGACTTCTGTCTCTTCCTGTTTTTCTGCCTGTTGGTTGGTTCCTGGTTTTTATGTTGGCTCTGGTTATCCCTCCTTTGTCCCTTGTGCCCCAGTTCATTCTACTTTGCCACAGTCATCTGTTATCCCCAGTTCACCCTCTTTCTGTCTGTCCTTGTCTATGGCCAAACAGGTTGTAATGTTGAATGGTTCTCAATGCGTAAGTTCCAGGACCATCACCCAAACAGCTTCCTTTCAACACATATTCTAATAATGACTAAAGCTGTCACCACCCTGTATGAACTACAATAATAATTCCCTATTGAAATATACTCAGCAGTTTTTGTTTTTTTGACTTATAGTGATGGAGAGCATGTGTTATATAACTCAGCCAAATGAAACCCAGAAGTCAAAGAACCAAATTCTGAAGCAGTTGATGTTTTAAACAGCTCTCCTTCTGAATAAAGATGTAACGTACAATGCATGGTTTAATTACTTTATTTTTTAAAAAAATCCTGTCAGAAATATAGCTGTGTATTAATTACAAAATATATTAATCTATTGATATTTTAAAAGGAACAAGAGTACCTTAAATTCTGTTCAAATGGAAACCAATACAAACCTTTAACGCTGACCCCAGAATAATCTCTTGTATCTATCATTAACTATCATTAAGGTACTTGATGATGAGTGTCTCTAGACAAGAGCAGAAAGGCCACCCTGATTTCTTTCATTAGCGAGTTTAAGCCCTTGCTATCGACCACAACCAGACATACCATGACACCACTTAATCGAGGTAGCTCATGCTGAGCTCCCACATATACATCACATACCAGCATTTTCAGTAAATTTTTCCCTGCCCTGCAGGGGAGGACATTCAGAGACGAAAAGAGAACACATTTGCAATATATTATAATTGGAAAATGTGCCATAGCAGCTTTGCAAATACAAAAGAGTCTGACTTGAAACACATTCAAGATGACAGGAATTCAGAAGATAAATAAGCTAAGCCACTTACTTACTAAAACACCTTGAGATCTAATAATGCTGCAAAGCATCAAGAGTGACAGAAGTAGAGAACCTCATTCCTGAAGAAATTATACAGGAAGCTGGCTTAATACTCCTATTTTTGTGTTTCAGGTACAACTCTCAAGGAAGCTACACGCTATTCCCCTCCCTTTAAGGAGTTCTCAACCCACCCTCGCATAATGACTTTTCAAAACACGATCGCATTTGTAAGGTTGGAAAAAAGAGGTTATTTAATTAAGAATATTTTCCTATGGAAACCGAGCACCTTAGTACTAACCTCAGGAAAGTTTGAGTAAAGGGTAATAGTCATGACAATTACAGTGAGGTGGGACCAATCCAGACTCTTAAGTTTTTCCATTGGCTGAAGATGCTGTTCTTATTTGGAAGAGAAAGCACTGGAACTTCAGTTAAAGGTGGGAAAGAATAAGGGAACTGGAACAAGTACGCAAATTAATGTTTCATTAACATTTATGTTTCAGGGCAGGAGAAATGAATATTTAGCACGTTAGCTGTCGAAGCTTCTTATGTAAAATTCTGGCATTACAGTAACTTGGCATCACTCAGAGTCCTACCAGATAATATCAAAATAGAAAAGAGTAGAATAGCAGTGACTTGAGCATTCCTACTTAAGGGTGAATACATGCTTTCTATTTGCTACTGGGTTGTGCTGTTGTACAATGTTAGCCTGAATCATTTTAACTTCTGAACCTGCCACCAACCTGAGTTTCAACCAGAGGCAGAACTATATCAAATGTAGCAGAAAAGGCTCAAAGCAAGAATTCAGTTTGTTGTAGTTGAGAGTTCCTAACACAAAGCTTCAAACGCAAAGTATTAATGCACTTAGTGGGCCTTTGTTATAAACTCTTAGAGCACAGGCAGGGCCCTTTTGTTAACATCGCCAAGGTTGAGTAGGGAACTGAGAGCTGCTTCTTGCTGTAAATGAGCAGTCCTTCTTCTGCCTTTCTCCCCTGACCCACACAGAAAAAGGAGAATGGTAATGTTTGAGTATCTTGGAAAAAGACAGGTAACTAACAGCCTGTAAAGGACTGCAGAACTACTCTGCAGAGCAAAGAACTGCCTTCTGCTATTGCTGATCTGAGTACTGTTACACATATTAAAAGCTTTTCAGTGAGAATGGCTGAACTACCAACACTGCTTTACATGGAGACACAGTGGAACAACTTAGTTAATGGTATGAGACTACACAGTATAAAATTGACTGAAGAAGTTTAAAAAGACAGATGTAAAGCATGGATCTTTTCCTGTTATTGAGTAATACAAGCTCACTTGTCCTCCAAACACTACAAAATAAATTGGTTAAATGCATCCAACTGAACAAGCCAGTAAAGGTAGGTCTGCAACTTCTAAGCTCCTACAACTAGGTGGAGAAACCTCCCGTATCAATGTACTGTAGTACTCATTCCTTAGTCTTGTGCATATTAAGTATATGCACTTACATACACTTTCCCCACCGATGATCCCTGGGAGGTTGTTTTGAAGGGACCGCTTGCTTGGGCTGCCTTTCAATGTCTTTTAAGCTGCAGCATCCCAATCCTTACACTGTTTCAATGGTTTGCAGAAATAATGGAAAAGAGATGCTGCTGAAGGGCTTACTACTGTACTCTGCCTTAGGCTGCACACTTCAGTTAGGGAGTGAACAAGACTTCTCTCCGCTATTTTTGAAGGAAAAGATCCATGCTTTATCAGTACTATGGTAAATCATTAGCACCAGTGAACTTACCTACTCTGCTTTGACTGGTCAAAACTAGTATTTATAGGGCATATAAATAAGAAGCAGAAAACAGTAACACATGCAACATGAGGAAGCTCATGAATCCTTGAACTAGTGAACTTAGTGTTTGGTTAAAGAGCTGTTAAGGAAGGCAGGCTTTTTTCCTGAGAACAAACAGGACTGCAATTTTTCCCTCACACTAATTAACAGGCTTTTCTTCCCTCCTGAAGTGCTATTGTCTAATGGGACACAGCTGTGGCCAGTTGTCCACTGAGTATTAATAGGAGATTACTATAGCTCATATCACCCAGAACATCAAGGGAAGGGATGACTCAGATTCAGATTCCCACGTTCAACACTGCTTCAAGTTTAGGTTTCAACAATAAAATTCTGCAACCCTGTCTAGTTACTGTATACCTAACCTTTGCTCACGTATCTACCCACTGCCTGACAACACCACTCAGTCTCATGCTACACTTACCTCTACTGACAGCAATTGAGATTCCAGGCTTGGAACACACACCACACGCACTTACATACAAAAATTTGGGTCAAAATAGAGAGCAGTGGGAGTAGCACTTTTGGACCATCCTACAAATATTTCTAAGAACTTGGCTCCTTTAACTTTCCTCACACCACTACCACCTACCTTTCAGAAATTCTACTATCAACTTGATATCGACACGCAACTTCTAACTGCAGCAAGGAAGGGTTGAAGCATCTCATTTTAAGTTGTGTCAGCAAAGCCTTAACCTGGCTTCAGATTTCAAGAGAAGCATAGTCAATTAAAAGTTGTAGGTAAGTCAATATAGAAATCATCTCACCCAAGGCAAAGCTTTCCCAAGCTCCATGAAAAAAGCCTAACCCTCATCTTTATTAATTTACCTACCTATGATTTCCCTGCTGTGGTACTTACTCCAAGGCACTGAGCTGCAAAGATTTATAGGTCTTTTCTGATATGACTGACTTGCACTTTGCCAAACAGAAATGTATAGGTACTTCAGTAAGATTTTCTTACTGAAAACTGTAGGCAGTTAGATTCTGATTAACCACACTTTTAGTTAGCTTGCTACAGAAGTAGCTTACAACTTTAATAGAGAACAATTGCTAGTATTCAAACACGTGACTTCATAGAGCTATTCAGGTGAAGATCAACTGTGGCAACATTTACTATCTTATTCAGCCTATATGGATAGTAGAGCATGCATGTATCTGTGGTGGAAGAGTACGACCAGGGCTGGTTAAGACTTGGTTACGCAGCTCCATCAGTACTGCGAGCTTGAAATCCTTCCCTGCGAAGGCTGTTTAAGTCTAGACGTGTTAGAACTTCACAGCGCACCAGAAGGGTATCATCCTTTACAAAGGTTCTTTGCTTCAAAGTTTGCAGGTGCATGAAAGTCACATAACCAAAACCTTTTGGATTGCGATGAATCGTTGGTCTCTGGAAGGCGAGTAACTCTGGCTTGGCTTCCATTACTTCTTCATGATTCTGTCTCTCAGGGCCTTCTGATTGATCTAAAATAGAAAGTCGTATAGTGCCCTGGAAAGGCCAAGGCAGATGGCTGTCATATTCTCCTTGCATCGTGTGGACAAACAGAGATATAAAATTAGCACACCGCTGAGCATTTGGTAACTGGATATGCAGGCGCAAACACAGCTTGTAGCCAGGTTTTCCAGTATAGAAGCCAGGACTGTGCATCACAACAGGTCTCTCTTCTTCCTGGGCTTTCTGAAGTCCACTGAAGTTCTCGATCTTCCAGATGTAAATACCATTACATTGCTGTGCCTCCATTTCAGTAATCTTTCCCTCCAAATTTCGGATAGTACGTTTGAGTTCTGCCATGTGAGTGTTTTGTGTCTCCATCTTTGCAATGAGTTCTCTGATTTGGTGATCTTGTCGCACCAGACGACCTTCCAATTGCTGAATGGTTTCTTTGAAGTTTTCAACTTCTGGATTACAATTATATGGGGCATGTGACACATGGGAGAAGAGGGCAGGCTCAAACGGTAGACCATTGATAAAAGGTACAGGGTTTGTAGCAGTAACACTGATATTTTGAATGCTCTGAGCCATCATTCTCATGTGAACCTGAGTGAATTCCTGCATGTGTCGTGCCAGTTCGTTCCTCTGCATCTAGGATTTAAGAGATATAGCATTAAGAATCTATCACACGTTAATCACATCTTAAATGTGGTTCTAAAGTACAAATTAATAAAAATCAAACAAGTCCTATTATGAGAGAAAAACCAGAATGTGAGTCAAAGAAAAACAACGTGACAAAGCAGCAAAGGTGATGCGAGTACGAATGAAAGGCTTCAAATTCAAAATCATTTATGATAAATACATTCAGATGTCAGTGGACAAATGCTGTTGGACAAAATATACACCTGGTGAAAAAGCATCAGCAATAAATAAGTACATGTGCTAAATCAGCATTGCATTTCCTTTGTAGATTTGCAGAAATGGCTCTCCGATACCAGATGATAAAGACCTACGAGAACTGATGGCATGAGGATGAGAAAGTTAATTTTCAGAGTTATTGCACAACTAGAAATAAGAATATCCAACCATCATGGTTTTATGGTTTTTATTAGTATTCCACATCATAACATCATGTGGTGCACTAGGAGTTAAAGAGTTAATGCTCCAATTCAGTGGATCATGGATCGTTCCTGGTACCTGGTTCTCAGAAGAGAAGAACAACTACATACTACATCCCCCAGAGGACTTTGTGCTATTGTTTCTGTTGTCTATTCAGAAGATAAGATAGAACTGTTTGCATATCTCAAGATGGCCCCTTTTTGCCTTGCGCTCAGCCTGGCTAGACATCTCACCTCAGCATCAGACTAAAGCCTTCAGATATTCTCATCTTATTTGATTTATTAGCTTCAATTCTAATTATATTGTATTATACTATGTTATCTTGCATTCCAATATCTTTAGTAAATCAGTTTGTTTCTCCTCAGATTGTTGCTGCAGTTTCATTTTTAGGCCCATCTCCCTACCCTTTCCCCTTTATTTCTGTGGCCAGCAGGGACAGGGAGGTGACTGTCCCTCTCTACTCTGCCCTCATGAGGCCTCACCTGGAGTACTACCTCATGGTTTGGGGCCCCAGTACAAGACAGACAGGGAACTGTTGGGGAGAGTCCAGAGAAGGGCCACAAAGATGATGAGAGGGCTAGAGCACCTCTTCTACAAAGACAGGCTGAGGGAACTGGGCTTGTTCAGCCTGGAGCAGAAAGGCTGCAGGGTGACCTCATTGCAGCCTTCCAGTACCTAAAGGGAGCCTATAAACAGGAGAGGAGTCAACTCTTTGAAAGGGTAGATAATGGCAGGACAAGGGGAAACAGTTTTAAGTTGAAGGAGGGAAGATTTAGGTTGGACATCAGGGGAAGTTCTTTACTATGAGAGCAGTGAGGTGCTGGAACAGGCTGCCCAGAGAGGTTGTGGATGCCCCACCCCTGGAGATGTTCGAGGCCAGATGGATGGGGCCCTGGGCAGCCTGGTCCAGTATTAAATCTGGAGGTTGGCAGACCATGTTGGAGATTCACAATCCTTGAGGTCCCTTCCAACTCAAGTCATTCTATGAGTCCCCTTTTCCAGGGCATGAGTCTGTGGGTCCCCTCACCCTGCTAGTCACAGAACCAGCCCATAAACCATTGACACCAGATTATGTAGCTTTGGAATTTAATCATATCTAAAACATTCTCAACTCATCTTTACCAAATCTAAAAAGTTAAAACTATATTTAGTCAGAACTTTGTAAGAAATGTTAGAAGTTACCTTACTAGTATAAAGCTGAGAATACACTCATGGAATAATACACATTCATCAGGTACACATTCAAGTTCTCTAAACTTAAGACTTTTGAGAAGTACTGGATCAACATGCCATGTTTTGGAATTAGAATGCCTCCAAATGACCAACTCCACCAATCACTGAAGATCCGGATTGGTAGATGAGACAGTAGGAACAGACAAAGAGCCATGGAAAACATCTGCAGCTCACACTTCTGACAAAGCTTACCTTTTCAGGACACCCAAAGGCACTGTAAAAGCATGGTACTGGGGCAGTAGGACAATCATTATCATAATGGTTGGGCATCTAAAACAAATCAGATTTGAAATGAGTACTCCCCATCAAGAGTATTTCTTTATAAAACATCATCACAGTCCACTAGCCCTATTTCAGTATATGTACCTGAAGTAAAATCAATTTATTTTTGTTTCATTTATTTGAGAAATAGGGAAACTTTAAACAAGAGTGTGCAGCTAATGATAAAAATTCAACATCTTCCTTACATACACTTCACTGACTTAGTATTTAGATTATGCATCAGAAAGCATTAGAGTTCCTCTCTTGAGCATAAGCCTTTTGTTTCTAGCCTACACAGTCTACTACTTTCCCTTCTGAATTACTATTTACATGTACTTAGAAATAGCTGTGTCACCCTTCCTTATCATCTTCTCAATAAGACCACATTACTTCCCTCTTTCTTACAGTCCATGTTTTACAGACCCAATTATGTCATCACTCCAAATTCTCCCTGTCCATCCTCACCCCAAAAGCTGCACCCCAAAAGCTTCAGCTAAGGCCTTGCCAGCCCTAACCAGAACTAAGGATAATTTCAGGTTTCTCAGGCAAAAGACTTGTTTATAAGCTCAGTATAGGTCATTTACTAGTCTGTTTTTGCATTCTCTGTTAAACAATAAACTGTGAAACTATATAATCTGAAGTTATGTTTGCCTCTTAGCAGCATTTAAATCAGTATTACACCTGCAGGGGATGCAACTTCTTCAGAGAGATGAGGAGAAATTTAATAGCCAGGAAAGAAACCATTTCTTCAGATTTATTTTGAGATTGTGAAAAATACAAAAGCTGTTCTCTGTAAAGAGATGGCTACAGCAGCTATCTTAAGGACAAACATGCTTGTATTTACTTTTATATGTTTGCTTACACTCTGCAGAGAACACCTGCGTTTCCTTCAAGCAGAGGTATCCTTGGGGAGTGAGCTCATCCTCCTTAAGAGAGATCTATTTCATTAAGTGTGTGTGAAACCCTTCAATCACATAACCATGCTGGCACAGCTGCCCATGGAACCAGCAGCTGCCCCATCCCTGGAGGTGTTCAAGGCCTGGCTGCATGGGGCCCTGGGCAGCCTGACTGAGCGCTTGATGCAGCGCTTGGCAAGTCTGCCCAGGGCAGAGCGCTGGAACTAGATCATCTTGGAGGTCCCTAGCAATCCAAGCCATTCTATGATTAAAGCAGCATTCTAAGTACAAAATCAGATTAAGCACAAAAAAAAAGGTAGTTTCTTACCTGCTGCCTGATGAGCATTGTGTTGCAATATTCACAGAATACATTGGCAAGAGGGCAGGTTTGGTCATGAAGCTGTTAACAAACAGCAATAGAGGAAAACAAATTAATAACATTATGCAATTCAGAAGAATGCTAATCACTTCTGATGAGATTTTAAAGCTGAACACAACTGTAACATAAATTTTAAAAAGTAGAGCTAGGAGAAGAACTCTGAAGTGATCCTGTTCTCATGTGTTAGCAGGTACCCCCAGAAGATGCACTTCCTGATCCTTTCCACCAGGCATACAAAGTGTGGGATATTGCTTTGTATATTACTTTGCCAGTAGGTACTGCCCCTCTCTGATGCCAAGGCCAAAAAGCAACCACTGTTAGACACATCTTTTCACACTGCAGGGTTCCTAGATAAGTGCCCTGGTGTTCAGAGTTTCTCCCCTGTGCAGTTCAAAGAGCTCTTCTATACCAAAGCCTTTCTTTCTTTCTACAAGACCTTGATGTCATATTCATATTTATGAGCAAACCCATATCAATGGAGGCTGAAAGACTCCTGCTAAGTACCTCTTTATCTTCATAAGCCATAGATGTGGCACAGTTTGGACAGCACACTTGACGCCGGGGACACTCCTGTGTCATGTGCTCTTTCAGGTGGTTCTTCTGAAAGGCTCCTTGGCACTGTGGACATTCCACAGTGGTGAAATCACAATGCAACTGGTGCTCCTGAACAAGGACAAGAGATTTGATACTGAAAACAAGTGCTAATTTATTGCTTGCTTTTCAGATAAGGCACAGCACAGGAGGAACAAACAGCAACCCTTCCTTCTTTCCTTCCAAGAAAACCCATTCGATGTTCTATGGCCAAGATCAGACTTTACATATTCAAAGCTTTAAGAATGATTCAAGAATTCAGCCTGTTTTTTTTTTCCCCCCTTACAAGTTGGGTATTATTTTCTAAAACAATTATTTCAACTAATATCTACTGCTTTGAAGGATATGTTACACTGACTTCAAGGAACTTGTATCAAGTATGGATGAAGCAGATGGAAAGACAAACAGAAATGACCCCAAGGAGTGAGCTGCATTACTACAATGTCACATAGTCCAGGTTTTTGATTTGTTTGAGAACCACCTAATGACAACTTCATGCTATCAGAACAAAACTAAACATCCAGCTGTAGGCTTAAATGAGTGGAATCAATATGAACAGGTATGACCCCTTATGTTAAGTCTGAATTTTTCCTCACCCATAAAAACAAGGTTCCGTATTGTCAGATCTAATTCTCACCTCTAAATGTCTCAGCTCCATCTTCATACAGCAGCCCTTGTTGGGACACTTAACGGTTAATGAAAGGATTTCCCGTTTAGCGAAGTTGTCTGGAAAAAGTTGATTTTCAAGTAGAATTTCGTTGTCTACCGGACATTTGTGACCCGCATCTCTACAATGACAGAAAGACAGGAAAAGGATTTTGAGTTTCTTTTGCCCTTAAAATATTTTTATACTACCAAGACATTAGCAGCCAGGTAACAACACACGAAGAAAGTACTGGAAAACAAAGGCATTTATGTGACAATTACCAGAAAGTATGCAACATCAATTAGAAAAACTGACAGCATAAAGTTTCATTTGAGGTAGTACTATTGAAATTGCAGAGCTGTTCTAACTCAGTAGCTTTTAATTGCCCAAATGACACGATAGATACCCTGGAAATAAGCCTGTGGAAGATATAGAGAACACAAGAACTTATGGCCTTGTTTCAGCTGTATGAAGTACTTACAGAAACACAAAAGAATATTTCACATACTCTTCCAAAACAGTCCTTTAAAGATTCTTAGGCATTCTCTCCCTCCTTTCTCACTTTATGAGCAGTCAAAGAGATCATCGCTGACACAGAAAGCAATCTTTTCTGGATTAACTTATTTCAAAGATCTGAAGAGCTATATCTCTTTTTTTTTTGTACAATCACTTGATACATTGGTCATCCTTCAATTTATGTATTTATACAGCAACACAGGTAAAGAACTCCTGACACAGAAGTTACTAAGAACTATGAAAACGGTGCCGGATTTGGAATTGGTTATTGTACCTGAAGCCATTACAACCACACAGCCACTGCTAACTGGTGGAACTCTGGAGTCCAGTGGTGGAACATTGGTGCATGCAACTAGCACAAGGGAACTCACAGCCTGTTAACACTTCGCAAGGCTCTGTCTGCTAGCATGGAGCTGCATCTAGGGAGGGTCAGGTTGGGTATTAGCAAAAGGTTCTTCAACAGAGGGTGGTCAGGCACTGGAATAGGCTCCCCAGGGCTGTGGTCACAGTCCCAAGCTACCACAGTTCAAGGAGTGTTTAGACAACAACATAGGGTTTGTATTATGGGTGGTCTTGTGCAAAGCCAGGAGTTGGACTCAATGATCCTTGTGGGACCCTTCCAACTTGGGATATGTTATGATTTATCTTTCTCCTTAACTGGAAATAGCAATAATATGGAAAAACCCATGGGGTGGGAAAATGTGAGAGCACACTTGTGGTACAAAGATCAAAGGCCATTCATTATTACTGCTTGCAAGTGAGGGGGAAGTAGAACCCAGTGTGCTGCGGAGGACAGGAGGGAATTTGTGCTCTTTGCTGGAAAAGGAAATAATTGGTCAGCACTCCTTCATCAGTAATGCTGCTAGAGGAAGTGGGGGTAACAATCACAGTTTAGAAAATGACAATGAACTTCCTTTCCTAGGTCTGGCTTACAAGAGTTGCTTGCCACAAGTCTGACAGTCACGATTGTAAGCAAATGGAAAAAAAGATACCTAGCAAGCCACTTCATTTCACAGCTCCCTGAGCAATATGCTGATCTTTATCACAAACCAAAAGCGTTCCCCCAGATCGCACACAATCTACAGGCAGTCACTTCTTGACAGGTACAGCTCAGTTGCAAATACCTCTCACTTAATGCAGTGCAGTGGTGGTTTGGTAGGCTTGCTGGTAAGGCAGCAGCTTGACTTCTACACACTGAAGAAAAGAACATATTCATTATATATAATGATTATCAGATTTCCTGTTTAATAACAAGCAGTTTAAGAGTAAGAACGAATGGCATTTTCTATGAAAAGGCAGAAATAACTCAGTTTGAAGAAATATCTGCTCTGTGATTAACAGCTAATAGGTTTAGCTTAGAAACAAAGGAGTCTGCATATGCTCTAATTGGAGGCACGTGAGTCATTTAATGAACTCCTAGCACCCAAAGCTTTCACTGCTGCTCCTTCTCAACTCATAATTCACTGATCCGATAAAGAAGCTTCTGAAATTTGGTGAGCCCCACTACAGATCTTAAGTTGCTCTGGCATAAGACACAGGAGGAGACTAGTATGAAGTTTAATTAGCTATTGCATCTGAACTTAGTTTTCCTAAAGTTTCTCAACTACTTTGTAAGCAGCAATATTTGTAAACTATTATTTGTAGTTACCAAAGCAGATAAGCTTCCTTACTATCGTGACTCACTGCGCTTTAAGGCACTTCAGGCTGCCAAGGTTTGCTGGGAAGCAAACACTGCGATCAAACCCATGTGGTGTAACCATGCCCTTCCCATTACAAGATCTAAGACTTCAGTGCTTAAAAGCTTTCCCTCCCTCCCCCCTTATTCTTTTGATAAAAATCTTTCTAGCTGCAGGTAGTTTCTTCAGCATGGGCAACTACAACTGTTGCCTATGTCACAAGAAGCATCTGCTCAGCAACTTCCTGTCTAACAACCATCCATCCGTCTTGTATCACTTAATCCTCAGTGCTCAGTCAGGCTCTACAGAAGGGAAGAGGGGATGAAATAGAAGCATTTTTTCCAAATAAACATTATGATGATCACTTAACGGGAAAAAGATAGCACTTAGTGTAAAAATCACTTTCCATTTCCCTTTTAGTTCTGTACAAATTTCTCAATGACATTCATCAATATAGTACTGTAGACACTACAAACTCCAAGTCAGTGTTGGACTGCAGATACTACAATGACAGTCCAAATCAATAGCATAATCCACACATCCCAGTTCAGCAACTCAGAATGGTCTGGCACTTCAAGTTCCCAGCTCTGCTTTCACAACTTGCTGAATCCCAAAAATGGATGCTGGTGGGGAACAAGGGAAAATATTTACTGTTATTGAAACATCTGAAATATCACAGTGATGATCTACAGTCTCCAACACAAAGAATACTTGCCACACTTGTTCAGCATTCATTGAAATTGCCAGTAATAATTCCAGAGATTGAGTACAAAGGGGAAAAAGAAGATACAAAAAGGAAGAACAGGAGTTACAGGTTATTATTTATAGATCCAAAACTTTGAGCAGAACAAATACTCCATTAATTAACAGATGACAAACCATTTCTCAAGCCTGAGATTTAAGAAAGGAGTTTCTCTACCTGTAATGAGATGCTCTGTTCTGAGCACAAGCTTACCGCAGTTCCTCACTAAACACAATGGTAAACTCTACCAATGACCATCTACATAGCTCTGCAACAGGAAGATTAGAAAACAAGATCGCTGCAGAAGATCTAAAAGACTGGAAGAAGAGACCCAGTTTGATTATCTTTGAAATGACTGGTGAATAAAGGTTTCTGACACTCAGTACTGACTAATGTACTTTCAGGATTTGTGGGCATCATCCTCCCATTCAAAGCCTTACAGATTCCTATCTTTTCATTTTTCCAGCAATTCCCAAGTTAAAGAAGAATATAAAAACTACTACTGCAAAGCAAACAAACATCAGAAAACACGAAGAAAGCAAATAAGGAATTCCACAATGTAGTGGCTTATATTACTATGGAAGTCTAATTTGATGCTTACAAGCACACATGGATTTATGCACAACCACCTGAAATAATTTACATTGGAACATTTGAAGCAAAGGCCAGAAATTGAAGCCACCTGCTTATGCATAGGAAACTGGATACCTACAGTTAAATCTGACAGGTTTAGTTTCATTTTTGCTTTCTTCCATGCTCTTGGCTGACATAAATGACATTGAGTAATGCAGTTGGGTAAGATCTGACTTATTTTTTCCCTTCTCCAGAAGTAGGAAATGAGGCAAGAGACTAAGGGAGAGAGATGATTTCATGGCAAGGTTACCAGAGAACTGAGCATCTCTGAGCCTCCTTCGCAGTACACACAGGGGAGTCACTTTTCATGTGTGAACAACTTTGATACTCTGCATTTTTTTTAGATAATGAACTTGCATCCTTTTCTCAGAAATGCTGATGAAATTAATGTTAAAAGCTGAGCTGCAAACAGAGTTTCATGCTCTCTAGAGAATAATTCTCTCTTCTGCCATCATAAGTACGGAATGCAAAATTAGGTTCATCTTTTACTGATTTCCAATACCTTCCTCCTCCATCTAAAATGGATTGCTGCTGGCACACTATTAATTTAGTGATATAAAAATGATGAGCTATGGATAAAGAAAACAGAACTATGGATAAATGTATGGAAAGCTAAACAAGAACTATTTATATTTATTTTATATTTATATTTTTTATATTTATATGTATTTATTATATAATAGAACAATTGTCTATTTTGCATGCTAAAAACAACTGCAAATACATTTTAAAGTAACATTGAAGACCATCTGATTTTATGCACAAAGGCATGCAAAGTGATTTGGGAAATCAACCAATTCCATATGTGGGTCACACAGTTAAGACTCCTACTAAAGAGCTAAGGGTGAGATCCATAAGTAAGAAATCTGCCTTGGGTCAAGAATCAAAAATATAGTAATATCTAACTTTTTATCAATGAAGTTTAATACTCAGAAGCATAGGTAGATCAGTGATGACTATACTCCACATCTGAGGGAAGTACAGTCTACCAGTCAGCATGCTCTCCGCCTTCCCCTCCCCTTTCTAGCATCCACTGTTACAAGTTCAGCCTATTCTTGCCTCTATTTTTTTTCCCCACCCCTCCATACAGCAGTTTCCTCTCTGAACTCTTTGTTCCAGACTATTTCTTCATTACATTCTCCAGCCCAACAAGGAAGCAGATTCCAAGGAGAACTGAAAGCACAAATTGCCACATCCGTGCAAAAAAGCCATGCTGCCAGTAGCTGCTTGTAGTTACCTAAACACTCACAGGGAGAGCACCTAAAGGGAGCCTACAAACAGGAGAGGAAACAACTCTTTGAAAGAATAGATAACAGCAGGACAAGGGAAAATGGTTTTAAGTTGAGGGAGGGAAGATTTAGGTTGGATGTCAGGGGGAAATTCTTTACAGAGAGAGTGGTGAGGTGCTGGAACAGGCTGCCCAGAGAGGTTGTGGATGCCCCGTCCATCCCTGGAGTTGTTCAAGGCCAGATTAGATGGGGCCCTGGGCAGCCTGGTCTAGTATTAAATGGGGAGGTTGGTGGCCCTGCATGTGCAAGGGGGTTGGAGATTCCTGATCCTTGAGGTCCCTTCCAACCCTGGCCATTCTGCGATTCTTCTGTGAGAAGACAAGGTTTACAATCCTGGGCTGAAGAGAGGACCTAGTAGCCATAGCCAAATCCTCCAAATAAGTTACTATTTTTATCTAATGTTTACTCCATCAAGTGACTTCTTAAGAATAATTTCCATAAGTTTGCCTTTACCTTATTGATTTGACAATGCAGCCTTTGCAGAAACGGTGCCCACACGGCGTCTGCACTGCTTCCCGAAGGGCCATCAAGCAGATCGGACACTCGTATTTACTTTCCAAGGGCGGATCGAACTCCACATCGTATCCCTGCGTCTCCTCCGTGAAGGAGCTGGGCGGGTTGCTGGTCCCGCTGCCGACACTCACACTGTCTTCTTTTGCTCCCCCGCTGCAGGCGCTGGCCATGGCCGCACAGCAGCCGCCATCCATGTCTCGGGCCCCACAGCTGCTATCACTGTGTAGCAAGCTCATAGCAGCTGGTCAGGTGCCACACAGAACGCCCTGCAAAGTGACAAAAAGATGTGTTAATTTGACATACTCCAAGATCTCCCCTTCCAGTCATGAAAAGATTTGAGCTGCAGCCACAAGCACTGGAGCAGTGCTACGGATTTGGTTCTCCACAACCACTGTTATCCCAGTTTCTCCACGACGTATCTTTTTATACTTACCTTGTAATGCATAAGAAAGAGCACAGCATCCTATCACTTCAAAAACTGACACGTACACACCTCCCTGCAATCTCATTCATCTGACTACTTGATTTCTGTAAACAGTATCTCTCCTCACTGTGCCTACTGAGAAAAGCCTCTTCCCTACGGCCCTATTTTCTTTTAAAGCATTCAAAGAGTTTCCACGAAAAGCACTGTAATGGAATGTGGTAATATCTCAGCTCCATATTTTCCTTGCACTGACAGATGTTATTTAATGCTTTCTGTATACAGACTTGCAGTATAGTTTTCAACTCAGTTTAGGTACATATCCACAAATAAAAGGTAGGTCTGGGCAGCCACACCAAGCAGAGGATGTGCTGCAAACAAAATGCAAATGCACAGCATAGCTGATAGCACTTCAGAACTGTCAGTAGGACTTGAAATTGAGTAAGCAGCTGCACAGAAGATAAGGCTAATAGTTCTGCAGCTCAGAATGTTATTTACCAGCTAGCAGTGCTCAAACAGGTTTCACGCTCTCCCATCCCTCTTCCGGTATAGGTGGGAGTGACAAGTGACAAGGCTGTAAGAACATCAGATAAAAATCACATTTCCCTGAGGAGGAGTGCATGGCACAGCGAGGCCTGTTTTTTAAACAACATTCCCCTCCTGTGTTCACTGCAAGACTATCACTTCATCTGCAGCATATTCGGGATGGAAACCTAAGGATCAGCCTGGAGCTGGGCTGCAAGGACTGCTGGTGTGCATCACTGTGCATCCAGGGGCAGTGAAGGATGCAGAGTGAGGGTTAACCCAACCATGAGCCCAGGGCACAGAACTTCTTGCCTTTATCAGAATTGGAGCATCACAAGCCATTTAAACAGTGTTCACAGATAAGGGGAGGATGACATGTAGATTGTTTTGTTTGAGCACTTACTACGTGACACCTGAAGACTCCAACAAAAATGCTGATCACAAGGAGCCTCAGCTAGAAACCTGTGAACACATGCATTGTTACAGACATATGCTTTAGGCCACCTGCATGATAGCCTTAACTATTGCAGTACTGCCCGTGTTAACAGTAAATGAGCTATTTTTACTCCGTTTATTCAGACAGAAAGAAAATGAAGGTAGATCTACCAAAAAAAAAAAAAAAGAAAGAAAAAAGCCAGCAGTCCAACAGGCCAAATTAGCATATACAGGTTAGAGTTCAAATAAAAATGTAACTTACTCTGTTACGCAATACTTTCCATTTCATTGAAGCACACGGAGGTGCAAGCAGCATCTAAAAGCAGTGTTCCAGGCATGGCCTGGAACTGCATTATGGTACAGAGTCTCAAAGCAGCACACGGGACAGGACTGAAGCAGCCAGACCGCTTACTTCATGCAGAAGCCATCCCACAGCACAGCTGCCTGGAGCTGCATCCAAGGGGTAAAGTTCACTCCTCTACTCCTCTTCTCTGTCCTCATGTATTATCCTTATACGTTATCTAACACAGCAGGCTTCATAACAGCACTCCTAAATACAGCAGAAATACAAGCTAAACATCAAATGACTTTTGGGCAGTTGACTGAGACACAGTCCAAGAATAAGTAGTTTAGCCCACAGAATGGAAACAGAAGAATCAATGCTTTGAAAGATGCTCTGTCAAAAGCTTTTTCAGGCTGTTGTCCATGGTTCTCTTTTCCCTGAAGGAAGAAATGCTGCTGCTGTTGTCAAACTAACAATTTGTATTTAACTGCTGTGGCAGAGGATGATGAGTCCATGTTTCATGAAAACAGCACAGGAATTAAGCTGGGCCAAAGGAGCGTGAAGGTGGGTATACAAGATTAGAATCCACAGGCCAGTATCGGAGTGGAAAAACACAGATAATTCCATACCACAGGGGTATATTTAGTGAGATAAAGGGAAAAGAAACACACGTGCCTTCAGCAACATCACAAAGGAATTCGGGAAGTCGTGAGGAGGAAAATGTCACAGCTTTATCCAAATCAGTTGTCATGTTAATTGCAGAGTGAGCTGCTCTTCCCTTCAGAGACTTCCAGAAGGAAACATACTGTTTGAAATACTGTTCTTATAAGAAAGATAACATCATCTTACTCAAAATCTTAACAGCTGTAGATTTAAGTGCAAGTGGTGTTTTTCACTTGTGTGTTTCTACAGTCAGAGCAGGTATGTACATTGAGTCTATGGAAACAGAAATCCTACACCAGAGTCATTCTAGCGCATGAGTCAGTGCAACCAGCCAACATCCCAGCCTCACAAAAATCCCCCTGTTCAGTGATACACACCACTCCCACATGGAGATTTTTTGTCTGAATATGACCAAAGGGTGAGCAAAGAAGAAGCGCAAGTCTCATTATCTGCTTGTGCCCAAATTTCCCTATCTGTAAAGAGGAGGAAATTTAAATAGGGTGATTAAGAGTCAGAACTTGAGTTTTGCTCATGTTTTTTGTGAAATGTGTAATAGGATTCCTCCTTCTACTGTGCTCATTTCACTTCACCTGGAAGGAAATTTTGTCCTTTCCATGCATTTACAGGCATGGCACACAGGTTTTCTAATCAAAGCCCACTCAGCCACCTCTCAGATCAACAGTCAAAGCCTAACTACCTCTTCACAGCTGAGAACAATTCTTGCACAGCCTTTAAGTGCTGTAATATGAATGTCCTGTTTCTCATTGCACATTTTGTCCTGCAGAACTTTCAAACAAATGTAACTATATACAAAATATTTTTTTTCCTCATCTACATCAAAACCATTTAAATCCATCCAGCTTTTTGACATCAGTAGCGTAACGCATTAAGCACCCTGGTAATCAACCAGCTAATCAACCTAACAGCCTTCACTTTGAAGGAACAAGTAAAGTTAAACCAGAGCATCACAGGGCAATTCCAATCCCAGTTAGCATGAAGTTTCTCAGGCAGAGAAAACCCAAGCGCTAAGTTTGTCAGTGCAGCTGAAACACCATTTCCCAGTGCTGGGAAGTCCCATCACACTCTCTGAGCAGTTAGACAGCAGGTTTTAGCTTGCACACAAGGCACCACAAGTCCCTGGGCCACTAAAGGTATTCTTTTTCCTCTATTGCAACAACACTGTATTGTTTGACAAAAGACAATAAGGTGCTTTCCAGGCTAACCAGTAATGCCATGCTGTCCAATCATTATTTATGCTGCTGGACTCCAGAATGAGCCATCTGTAATGATCCAACTCTCAAGACCCCAAAGCAAACCAGACACAGACAGGGCTATGGAGTCCTCACACTGCTTTTCTAACTAAATCATAATGAAACTGCTCTTCAGCAGGCAACCTGTGCTACATCGCTATTTACGCTGTTGTGTTACAAAGCAGTAAGGTCAATCTGTGATAACAAACCAAGTCAGAGTGGCAAACTCCTGCAAGCACAGTGCATGTTATGATTCACATAAACAATTTCAAAACAGAACTAGAAGCCTTTCATGCCTTAAATTATTGTGTGCAATAAAGCTCTGCAGTCTGACTTGTGAAGTCCCACAGTATCATGGAGTTCAGCCAGGACTTTTACAGATATTCTTGCTCCAGCAAAGAGCTACAGGATTAATTTAGGTTTCCTAAATCAAAGGCTAACTGGCATACGAGATATCTTCCAACTGCCTGCAAAATTACACTCATTGGGGTAATGGGAGGGAATAGGAGTAGGCATTGTACCCTACTTATCTAAAACGTGAGATGATACCTATGCATTTGGCAAGTACAGAGGACCTGCTACACAGGGAACTTACGAGTTATGATGCAGAAAATGTTGAGTATTAACATTGATAACAATTAATTTCTGCATGACCTCTCCAAGAAGATTCCTCCCAAGCAGCCAGAGAAATCAGTGCAGAGGGCAATTCCAAATCCCTTTCCTCACTTGAAGTTGTAAACCTAATGAAACTGCTTTCAGCCCAGCTGGGACAAAGCCAGCAGAGGGCAATGCCTTTGGTGCCGTGCAAACAAACCACAGGCAAAACTTTGCTTTTTTCTTCTTCTGGCCCGTTAAGAACAGTTCTGTACACACAGATGTATGAGTCAAACAGATTTCTGGGTTAGACCTGCACAGCGACTTCAACTGATTTGTTTGTGAAGCAATACTTGCAATTCCCAGGCAGATTAATCAATGGTCTGACAACTGATAAGCACTATGCTCAGCAGCATTTGCATTGTTAGGTGTACAACTATCAACACCATGGCTCCAGCCTGGCAAAACATACACAGTTACGCAAACTTATTTTAATTAATATCTATAAAACACTTTCATTCCAAAGCTATCAAATGGCAAATCAAGAAAAAGCAACAGGAGATTCATGCAGAACTCATAACTGTGAAAAACAACTTCTGGTTCCTTTTAAAAACCTGCAAGGGTTCCGCTGAGATGCTGCCATAGCAGGGTCAAAGAAAACATTAGGACAGAAAGTATTTCAAGAAGAGGCAGGAGAAATATGGTTAAGAACAAGCATCATTTCTGCAGAGCCACCAAACTGTATTTTATTATCATCTACATCTGTTGATGCTTGTTAGCAGTCTGCTTGTAGCTAGCATTTGTACAATCGTTTGAGACACCAGGAAAATAAGCAGTGAACTGAGCACACATTCTGAAACAGCTCAGGCATTTCCCCTTTCCACTCTGCCTCATGTTCACTTTTCTTTTTGATGTGCCTTATACTCAGAATCTTGCGCCCCTAGTTCTCCACAGATCAGATCTAAAAACTTCTTATGCTTGCTTAGCTAACATGCACCGCAGAGAAGCAAAAGTTACCCTTATTGACATATTAAAGTCATGGAAGTTCAACAAGAAAAAGCACCTTTATCTCAGCCATTTTTTCACTCAGAGGTTCTAGTATTTTCTGAGCACGCTTTCTTAAATATAGCATCAAACCTTTAAAAAAGAAAGCAGCACTGCAATGCTAAAGCACTACAAACCTCAAACCACCACTTGCACACCCCAACTTCTCCTAGAGCAGAGCCTGCCTGAGCTCTGCAGGTCTCCAGGTGCTTAGAAGAGCTGGAGGGCTATGCCCAGAGCAATACCTGCCAGGAAAGAAGTCACGTGCTTGCTGTGATCAGCAGACTTCTGGGACTTCTTTTTTGATAGCAGCAGACTGTGGGGCTGTGTTTTTCTGGCCCCTTCGCCCTTAGGAAGGCGATGTCGTTCACCTGCAGGTGCTAACACAGCTGGTGGCTCATGGTTTCCCTGCCAACAGCAGCGGCCTCTGATTGCAGAATTCATGAGAGGACAGAGCTACTTTCAGTGAGCCCTAACTGCTGGGTGTAAGGGGTATAATTAGAACATTGTCCTCTCACCTACAGAGGAGATTACTGTCTCTGCCTGAGAAGATTCACTCTGACCACTCTAAACCAGGTTACACTGACGGAAAGTACGACCACAGTCATAACTTCCTACTCGTCTCATAAGTTTGCTATAACCAGGCAGATCTGCCAGCCTCTAACATAAGAGGGAGGCTCTTAGTTTTAGAAACAGCAACGTTCCCCGCAGGGCCGTCCTACAGAGCCTTCCAGCTCCCTGTCACGCCGGGTCCCTCGGCTGAGCGTCTCCGTTTCACAGCCAGAAAACCGGCTACCACCCCTCCAGGCCCATAACAACCACCACCGCAGCGCGGGCCCACGGCGTACCGGCCGGCCCAGGGCCCGGGCCCAGCACCCGGCCGCCCCGGGGCTCACTTTCAGTTTCGGCGGAGCTCAGCCCGACGCGCCCCGGCCACGGAACCGCCCTCCACCAGCACCGCGGCTCCCCCTGGCGATGCCCGAGCGACGGAGCGCGCTCTCGCCGAGGTCCGGCCGAACCCACGCCGCCTCGCACCGCCCGGCGCCCCGTCCCGCCGGCCCCGAGCACCGCGCCCCCACGCTACCGGCGTTCCACGGCGAGACGCGGCCGCGGCGTGCCGCTCGCCGCCCTCGTCGGTCCCGGTCCGCCGCAATCTCGGCGCCGCCCTCTCGGCCGCCGACCCCTACTCACCGCCAGCCTCGCTGGCCGCTCCCCGCCGGGCGCCGCTTCCGCCTTCTCCTCGGGACGAGCCGGGGCGGCGGCCGCCTGGGCCCGAACCCGCTGCAGCGCCCCCTGCCGGCCCGGTGGGGCCGCCCGCCTAAGGCCTGCCGCGCTGCCCGCCCTTCCGCTCCGGCCGCCTGCAGGGGGATCGAAGTACGCCGTAGCGCAGGGTGATGCGAGACATAGCAACGCTGATAGGAGAGCAGGTGCCGAAAGCATTGAGTGGATAGGGCGTGACGTGATTAGGGAACGCTGTTCCACCTGGAAACAGTGCGTTGCAGCCTGAAAGCATCTGAGCTTTTCAGTTAAATCCTCGCGGCACGTGCGCTGCACAAGCGCACAGCTGCACGAGCGAAGGGCTGAGCCCTGCCTGGTGGCAGCGGCCCCTCGGTGCCGTGGGGACGTGGCCAGGCTCGCTTATGGACACGGTGCTACCATAGGCAGTAGGGATGTTGGCTTTTCCCAGTAGCGTGTGACAGTGGGTGGCTCTAAGGAAGTGAAAAACTAGGACAGCTCGAATGCAAACACAGCTTCGTTTCCCTAAACACAGAGAAGGGGAATTTTGCTGTGTGCATCTGTGCCTGTCCTTGGCAAGCACCCAAGGCTAGCGTGTGTTAACTCAGAGAACGCTTTGTCTCTGTTCTGGGGTCCCAGTTCTGCAGTGAAGAACTGGTCCCTGGAACTCTCCTGGGCTCCTGCCAGCCAAAAGTGCCTGTCTGAGTGCCAGCTGGTGCAGGCAGAAGGCTGCATCTGGAGAAAATCATAGGATCATCTAGTCCAACTGTCTGCCACCAATATTGTCCACTAAACTATAGAATCATAGATTCTTTTGAGTTGAAAGGGACCTTTAAATGTCATCTAGTCCAACTTGCCTGCAATGAGCAGGGATGTCCATGCTAGACCAGGTGCTCACAGCCTCATCCATCCTGACCTTTGGTGTCTCCAAGGATAGGGCTTCCACAGTCTCCCTGGGCAACCTGTGCCAGTACTACCCTTACAGTAAAAACATATTTCTCCTATCCAGCCTAAATCTCCCTTCTTTTTGTTTGAAAACATTTCCCCTTGTTCTGTCATAGCAGACCCTGCTAAGGAATCTGCCCTCTTCTTCCCTACAGTCTCTCTTTAGATACTGAAAGGTCGCTATAAGGTCTTGCTGGAGCCTTCTCTTCTTCAGGCTGAACAGCCCTAGCTCTCTCCACCAATCCTCACAGGGGAGATGTTCCATCCCTTGGATCATTTTTGAGGCCTTCCTCTGGTCATACTCCAACAGGTCTGCATCTCTCCTGTACTGAGGACTCCATGCCAGGGTGCAGTACTCCAGGTGAAGCCTTGCCAGCACAGAGTAGAGGGGCAGGATCACCAACTTCGACTCTTTCAACAGAAGTGTGCAGCCCAGGATATGTTTGCTTTTCTGGGTTGTGAGGGCACCTTGCTGGCTCATATCCAGCTTGCCATCTGCCAGTACCTCCAAGATCTTTTCAGTAGAGCTGTGCTCCATCCTTACATCCTCCAGCTTGTTCTGATAGCAGCTTTTGCTACGACCCAGGTGCAAGACCTTGCACTTGGCTTTGTTGAACCACATGAGGCTCACCTGGGCCCACTGCTCGAGCTGTCCCTAAGTGCTACATCGACACATTTTTTGAACATCCCCAGAGATGGTGACTTCACCACTTCTCTGGCAGCCTATTCCAATGACTCACTACTCTTTCTGAGAAAAAAAAAAAAGTCCTAATATCCAAACTAGCCTGCTTCCTGCCTCTGTGCAACTTGAGGCCATTCTCTCTCATCCTATTGCTGGGAGAAAAGGCCAATCCCCACCTTATTATAACCTCCTTTCAGGGAATTGTAAGTAGCAGTAAGACCTATGGAAGCCCTGAATGCAGTCTTCTGAGTGCCACTTTTGGCCATAAGATTATTTGTTACATTTTTTTGTCAGGTCTTCATCTGGGACTCTGACATTCCACAAGAAACAAGTAGTTATATTAAGAATAATTTAACCAACTTTGTGGACCCTTTGCTGGACAACTGGCTGAATTTCAGAGCCATTCTTATTCCCTGTGGAGCTGAAAAACTACATGTTATTTTCATTCTCTGTAAAATGAGGAAATGTATAATGGATTTATAAAATAGATATCCCTCAATGGAGTTTTCTGCAGCAAAATCCCATAATTTTCAGTCATGTGTCAAGTAGTCAGAGCATTGATGTCCAGTTCATTTTGATTACAAAGGAACACAAGAAACATAGCTTTTATCTCAAATGTAAATGAAATTTCTTTAGTCAGTGCAGTTCCCAAATATTTATGGTTTTTGGCAGACTTGGGCAATAGTCATGTACCCATGACTATAATGCAACGTAAAATGATGTATAAATGCTTTTTCTCCACGTGGTGGTGCCAGTTGCACAGGGAAAATATTTTCCAGCACTGACTGCACAGCTCAAACCGTCGAGCAATTATGTTCAGACACACATAAACCACACTAAAAGCTGTTTCAACTGGAGATCAATTAAAACCTTATTTACCTTTAGTATCCCTCCCAGAAAACATTTTTTCAAGGTGATTTTTCCTGAGTATGCTGGAAGTAAAGTGCATGACTGCTTACATATGCTCACCTGGCTGTGCTGATGATCAGATTGCTCTCATACAGCGCTGTTCACACCAGACTTCACTCTCACAGGGAATGGGGCTGGTAGGCAGCTGCCTGGGCAAGGTTTTGCATGAGTCCTGCAGAGGGACAGATTTGCTAGACTACTTCTCTGAGAGTCCCTGATCCCTCAATGCATACTGTCAGTGAGCTGCATCTGCTGTTTCAAGATAAGGGAGGAAACCAGCATGAGCCTGCAGAGAGTTACTTTGATTGATATCTGGTGTTGCAGCCTAACCTGATATCTTTTTGAAAAGGTCTCTCCAAATGCTAGTGAGGGGACAGTGAAGGCAGGCAGGTTGTGAGGAAGTCCTGGCAAGATAGGGAGAGCAGAAATGCTGTCCTTAGGGCTGGGTCATGACACCTTCTCACTGGTGAACAACCACCAGAGTCAGGACAACCTTACTCTAACCTGCCTTGGCCTGGGAGCGACTACCGTGATTTCTGTTCCACCTTGTCCTGACACTCACATGCACTTGTTTCTACAGCAGCTCTGAGGTTTTGGTCAGAATCTGACCAAGGGTATCAGAGTTTGCAACCAAACTTTGTTTACTTTGTCATTACGTTACTTGATTTGGCACAAATAATTGCACTTAGTTACTGAGGAGGTATTGGCATCTCCTGGGACATACAGTGTGAAATGAGTGACTGGCCCAGGTCTAACTTCACTTCTCTATGACTTGTCATCTTGCAAGAACAGGAAGGAACTGTTGTTCTACAAGATCAAAGCTGATAATAGGAGGGAATCCTCTCATCATTTTTACCTATAGCAAGTGTTGCTACTGCAAACTCCCACTTCTGGAGCATATGTTCACTTTGGGAGAGCTTGATGGATCATTACATTTTGTTGCATAATGTTTTTTGAAGAGACCAAAATCCTTCAAGGTGCTCTTGTGTAACAGAATTTGTTTTCTTTTTACTTGGAGTGAATTTCTGAGACATACGTGCTTTGTCAAAACCACACGTGAGCACTGAACTTTACTGCCCACCTCTGTGGAAACTTGCCTATGCCTGATGTACTGTTGACCAGAATACAGAACTAGTTTGTATATTGTTGATTTGTTCTCTTGTCAAGTACTTTCAGGATGCCATCAGGAAGGTAATATCTCTGAAAGTGAGATAGTGGGATCAGAAGAAAAGACACTGTGTGGTCCCAGAGCCCAGAGGCCTGGCTGCTGTTAACACAGGAAGCAGGCCTCTGGCCTTCAGTGAAACAGCTTTGGTATGCGACTGTAGTGTGACCAGACACCAGGTTCTTCTCTCCGATAACTGACAGCTCTGAAACTAGCTCTGAAGCTAGAAAGAAGAAAGCCAAATGCAGAGCTTTGTCCTAACACTGCAGGTGCTCCTCAGAGAGGCTGCATACTTATCTCAGAGCCCTAGAGTCTCACACAAGAAGACCTTGTTTTTATGAATTTTGTGGTTAAGCCTCATAAATTGCCAGGTGCCACCTGGATTTGAAAGTTCTGCATTGTGTTTAGTTGAAGTAACCTGTGGTTAGCACCAAAGTGGTCCTGGGAGCTCAGAGGCACAAGGATAAGTGAGATAAACAGCACTGCAGTGTCTTTAAAAAGCAGAGGGGACAAAGAAAGAGCAAGAGCACACGGGAGAGCAAGCAAGCTTGACATGTGGAGCAAACTGAGCAGACATAACAGCAGCTCTGCATACTGACAGGGAGCTAAAGGTAGGCTGGCTGTACTAATGGCAGCAATTCAAATGCTCGTAGGACAACTGAATGTTGATTCATTTTCCTGTTTTAATGCGCAAGTCAATTTTATTCTATATGTGCAGTGAAACTGTTCATAAAGCAAGGTCTTCCTTGACATGACTAACAGTATCACAGTTGTGCTTTTCTTCAGAAGCGTATGAAATATTGAGAGCTGGGAAGAAAAGGGATTTCTTTTCCCTTTTCAAGGTAAAAAGAGGTGATACTGAATACAGCTGTCAGAGTTGATTAAATAACCATGGCTGGGGTTCATGGCTGGGGTTCACTCTGTAAGAATCTGAGTGAGATAAACAGTGAGGAGGATTGTTCACTGTGACCCACAGCTAGAATAACAGACCAAAGGCAAATCTAGCATGAAATGTTCCTAGCACTGGGGATATTTCTACCTCTCCCAGCAGAGCCGCTTCAAACTCCACTGTCTGGCATCCAGGCCATTTAAAGTGTCTGGTGAGTAGCCTGTTGGCTGCTACTATCTCCTGAAGGAGACTAAGGTCAGGTGACCTAAGAGGGCTCTTTATCATTCATTTCTTCAAGGGAATGTTCAGTGTAAGAGAGAGAGAGAGAGGGAGAGAGAGAGAAAATGAAAAAAAGAACCAAAGATCATTGCACTTTTCTTTAGTGAGGGTAAAGCTTCATTTGAGTTGATAATTAATAGGAATGGCCACAGATTTGGAGATTGGTAAGGCTCTAAGGTGGCACTTTGTCTAAGGGATAGCTGAGGAGGGAATGTATTAAATATTTTACTTTAAATGTACTCGGTGCTGGCTGTTTCTTTACAATGAATTAGGTATTGCCCTGAATAGGCATTTTGTATGGGTTGAGACATTCTGAGATTGTTGCTGGAGATGGTGAAATTACACAAATTTCCCTTCAGAAAGGGATCTGCAGACAGTATAGGGCAGCAAGTGCTGCAGGTAATAGAGCACCTATCTGTAGGAATGCAAGACGATTCAGGGGCAAACAGGTTATTGCTCAGTGGATAGGTTTTACTACCTCTGTCACAAGATGCAGCCAAGAAATTGGGCAGTAGTAATGATCTGAATTCAT